AAAACCCCACGAATATGCTACGGTAAACACGAACATTTACTACACTGAATCAGATAAAAACTACTTCACACACATGGCGGTAGAAACTGATAAATCCTGTTAAAGTTACCATACCATATTTCGGAAAGTTTTGGCAATACCTAATACACTAAATGTCACCTAGATATATATGCATGTAAAAAATGTTAAGGTATTATTTCTCGAATTCGGTATTTTATTTTTAGCTCATGTTGGTGTATGCCTAGTAACGCAGACAGAATAAAGATGAGCATATCGAGTACATATGGAAGCTAGTGATTAGAAAATATTACACATCATACGTTTAGCTCTTAGTTGAACAAGTAAGTAACAACAGATTGAAGATTAACCTTTTCTTGTACATTTTTTATTTCGTGATAGCCAAGGAACGGCTATGTGAGTTCTGACCTTCTTGTTACTAAAACCTTTCCTTGATGGAGTATTTTTTTAAGTAATTCGAATGCTAGGGAAATTAGTTTGGACAAATCAACTGCTGGTCACATGTCAATTATTGAATCCTAATTCTAAAACGGCAGCTGTCTAAATTATTATTTGGACTAGAAAATTCTTCATATTATTCATGTGTTTAAATACATATTCCTATCTAAATCACACGAGTAAAGGACACGTTACAGCAAATATAACCATAAAATGGCAAACTACCCTACTCTCCTTGAAATGTGGCTTAGCCGAAAAACCATAACTGATAGTTCGTATGTCTCTTTTTTAATTGAATTTTCATTGAGATTTCATTGCATAACAATGTTCGCTTTAAATTGTTACATCAATTTACCGCATCAAATTTTGTTAAGAACTCAGGAGACACATAACGTTATATGCACTAAATAGCTCAACAAATTAGAAAAATTCGTGTTATGCCTTTTGGCCCCATAGATCTCAATTCGATCCAAACGCATCAGGTAGTTTGAACGCAGAACCTAAAATAATGCATGCACGCGATATTTGGTTAACTAACAGGTCCGATGGAAAGAAAGAAACTTTGTGAGATCCGCCTTCTGGGGTTTTACAACAACGTATATGATATAGCAACGAGCCTACATGTGTAAAGAAATTTTGATATTTCCTCATTGTTTCGAAATATATGCGTTTAGCCTGATGCCGAAACTCGAACAGTTCATAAGCGCTAGGCTGTTTATAAAACAATGAAATTAACGTTAATGATCATCGAAAATATTTATGCGCACTGATCAAATGTTTTTTTCTATGTACTGTTATAGCTGCATTCATTTCTGCGCCTCCATCTGTTGATCTATGTGAAGAAGTAAGAAAATCGTGCTTATCTCTCAATAACAGCGCCTATATTCCAAACTATCATGGTATACTTGAATCCTTCGTTTAAACGAGAACATAAATTTTGTCCTCCAATTATTAGGCTTAACAGAAAAACGTTTTTAAATAAATTTTAATTAAATTAAGAGACATGCATTTGTGCCGTAGATAATCCGGTTCATAATTTTGCTTATTTAAAGTGTGGCTAGGCTATTGTTGAAAAGCAACCAATAGATCCAAAAACTGGAATTTCTACGCGTCTTCACCTATTTGGACTTGATGTCATTCAGCTATTTCCAGTAACTATGGATGTCTGTCCGTTTAGCTAATCAGTAAGCTGATAGCTGACAGAACCTGAAACCTATTTTAAAGAACATTTACTGCGTAGCTTATGAACACAACTCGGCGTACATTAGTTTTAACCATTTCATTGATTAAACGTTCGCATTTCCACCTGATGATTTGATCTTCGTTATGAATAATGTCTTCTGTACTCATTCATGTTTCTTTCCAATTAGGTAACGAAAATGATGAGTGATGACTTCCCAATATTATACAAATCGTGTTCACTGGAAAAGCGGAACAGTTCCGGATCACATGGACAAAATATCATGCTATACCGTCTTGCAGCAACGGAACCATTTCACGTAGTCGACGAGCCATTCTACCTTAATTATCACAGTCTTTTGGTGGACAGTCTTAACTGGGCGCACTCTAGTTGCGTATACAACGGTTATATTAACACACAGCCCAGTGAGTTATTTTACTTTTGATATATGTGCTTTAAAAAAATGATGATACGATAAGGCAAAATTATGGGATGGTATAAACGACTTAACCTCTTTAAGGATGCAACATTATTTATCAAGTTAACACAAGAACAAACTGTGGCCAAACATAAAAACAGCAAAGACGCATAAAACAAGAAAGTTTTTCTTATTTGCATCATTTCTTCTATTGCAACAATCAGGAAATTTGTTCAAATTATCATACCCATAGAAGCAAAATATATCAAATACTTCCTAGAGCTGAGGCAACAAATATTACGACCTAATAATTGGAGTTAAACTGCGTGCAGCTCCGATTGTTCTTTTAATTGCTCAACGTGTTCTTTTGTTTTGAACACCTAAGATATAGGTACATTTATCTAATAAATAATATTGCTAATCGTGTTGCCATTGTTTCTTTGCTGAAACTACCTGAAGCTGGTAACTTGAAAAATTCGTGCCGAACTGATAAGTTTACGCGAAAAGGTTTGCCTGTACTTTCCACATGTATACAAATAAAAAGTATTAAATATGACGTTTTATGTCTTCTTCCATACAGGGACATTTTCTTATTATATGGAATGGATTTTGTATAATCAGCAACTCACATAAGGCGCCCAAAATGGTAACACTTACAAGTATCACCTAAAATGTTCTTAGCAGAACCAGCAGAAAACTGCTTTAGTTTTAATGTTGCACATTAAATAAATGTCGTACACGACTACTGAAGAGCAATAGTATAATATATTCACTAAATTAATCGAAAGATACGGATGTCGTCTTACCGTACACTTATATTGCACGGGTAAGATGCTGTCTAATGTAATTTTTGTCAATCTATGTACTTTGTGCGCTAGACAACATGGCATAGTTATATCAAAGGTTGCAGGACAAACTCCACAACTCCCGTTTATGTTTTAATTTATTTATTCGGCGTTTGAGTGAATTAATCAAAAGGACTTTCTACTGCATATATACCACGGGATGGCTAATGTTGATGTTTTTCGTGTCGCACTTCCTGTTAAAATATTTTCCTTTCTTATGGTATACGTAAGGGATTTGAACTGAATTACTTTCGGTCCGAACTTGATCAGCGCTAGTCCTCGGCTTAGCTTTCATCTTCCGAGAACCTTTAATTTATACAACCGTTACGTGTGCTGTTTGTCAGAGAGTACGTTAGCAAACTACCTGAAGCCAATCCATCAGTCATTAGGCTGGGAAAGATAATTAGGTGCAGTACTGGGGTCGGATTTATTAAACTTTTGCGACGTAATGAGCTATTCCGAGCAGAAATGTAGCAGATTTGTAAGCGTGCATGTAATCTCGCGAGATTACACTCCATATCTCGACGCACAGATGATGCCGTCTCGCATGACGGTGAAACGATTGCAAACCAATTTCGCAACTCGGCAAACAAATGAGCAAATGAATTATTAACCCGAGCTACCAGTCTTCCAAAACATGTTAAGTAAAATTTAGATCAGTTAAAAAATAACAACAAAAGCATACTAAACAATGGTTTGAAAAAATGGTGTTGACTAGAGTTTACACACAATTTCATGCTCTTTTTGATAAAGCAGCTTATGCACTGGTGAGTGAAAGTTGGCAAACTATGTACTGATTTGTATATTGCCTGACACTTAGTCGTAGGCTTGGCTTATTGTTATGGAACAACCAGCGGTTAGACGGCGTTCATTAAAGTCAAGAAATTATTGATTAGGAGAGTTTAGGTGTGGCTATCGCCCATCTCTGCACTCCATCACCGACGGTTTCGTCCTTGTTTAGACACATCAGTTAGAGATAGCTGAGCTCAGAGTGGAAATCGGGGATATGCTTGGCGGCTATCGCCATGATTATTAGGCCATTGAGCTGCGCCAGCAGTATTTGATACAAAAGTTAGAAGTGCAGGGATGGGAGAGAGACGCACCGAACGTCTTTACTTTGGTGACGGTCCCAGTTACCGTATTAGCAGAGGCTGAATTAAATTCAACCGTGGACCACAATTGCGATTGCGCGTCACAGTCCAAGACACAAGGCAGGTGCTCCAAATCCTGAAAATCTACTCCTAAAACATTATTTATGATTTTGCGAAATTCGTGGTACAGCAGGCAGGCGAGAATCAATGCTGGTAGCTTATTACCGATTACGGCGTACCGGTTAGGCGGGACATTTTACTGGCCTGCTGGTCCTGGGCTTGAGAGCAGCTGCTGAGTTATCCTTAGTTAATACGTTGTCAACAACTAACTCAGGTTGGAATGGTGTTTACGGTTGTAAAATTAGAGAAACATGATTGCAATTCATGCGTCATGGCCAGAGCAGATCAATCTCAAACTGATCACTTCGTTCAGTGCATTTAGTTGTAAAGTATTACTAACAGTCATTTTACGAGTACCAAATATACTAGCAAGGATTCGAAACACCTGTAGCTCGTGTTGGTAGTCAAAGTTTTGATTCGTTCTGCGAGCTGAGTAATGTATCTGCAAAAATTTCACCAGCTCCCTCAGTGGCATCTTCACTGAACTGTTGCCTAGGGAAAAATATCAAGGAAAGTGTCCAGCAGTGCACGAAAGATGCCATGGATTGAAGTGGTGAAACGTTTGTCAATAAATTACTCAGCTCAGTAGAAATGAAAACGTTAGCATATATACTTGTTTAAATGCTAGTTGATCATACTTATTTGCGTTGCGACGTAACATTAAAATAAATTTCTATAATAGAGCAACGTGGGAACTTACTTTAACAGCTATTAGTGTAAATGTGCATGCTGGTAAAAAGCACAGCACTCTTATAGAAGTTTTTGCTATGTATCAAAAATAGAGGCGCGTTAGTTGCGCAAAATTCATTTAACTATATTCTGCATTCAATGAGCGCAAATTTTTCTATAAGCTGTGCTGTATGCTGGTAAAACTTCACCGAAAATTCAAAACAAGCGGCGTGTTTTGCAACAATTAGTCCATAAGAAATTTTGAAATAAACATCACCAATTGCAAAAGGCGCTTCTTCCGACGGTAAAAGCTAGATTTGTGTAAATTACAGGGTATTTAAGCCAGAAAGACGTGGGGTTTTTGGCAAAATGCGGTGTTGCGTATGTAATAAATATATAGTCCTTGTATTTACGGGAAAAGATAGCTGCATACGTTTGACCCGATAGATGTTAAACGTAGCGACGCATCCCTTTGCAAAGAAACAGTAAGGAAATACAATTTGTAACGCAATCGGTGATATTGTATATATAAATTTTCAGTGCTTACACACGATAGATCGCCTTTGGTCATACATAAAAGAACTAAGTGAAAGGTATAATCAATAAATTTTACATAGTATGTGCCTAAAGTTAATGTAACTCAAGCAAATTATGCAAAATTGAGGTTTTCGGCACATCTATTATTCCTGATTGTGTAAGCGTTTCAGTGAGCTTCATCGATGGTACGTATGTTGTGTAGACATTTCGCGATTTACTGCAATTCGAAGAAGATGCTGGTATTCTTTTGTACAACAGATTTGAACACATTGGAAATTAATCATTTTGCATCCTTTGCACAACTGGTTTCTGCATTTAGTATGTGATATTACCCATTTTTAAAACAAGAGATTTCTAGCGGAAATGTTTTCTTACTAGTAAACATTTACTGAAAAATCCTTACCTGGCTGTTTTCAAAGACAGTTGAAAGTCGCTCGATGAACTGGCTAAATAATTAAATTCTCATTTGATGGTTTAGAAGCTTCACTTTTTCTGCAATATGATCTGTTGATGCCGCGATTTGTTCAGTGAAATATTTAACATATACAAGTACATTGGCTGATCTACTTACGGCTATTACTTGTATAACAGACAACAATTTTTATCTTATTGATTTCTTTGCTTTATTTCCTTGATGAAATTTTCTTTCCCTTACTAATTACGGACCGAGTCTGTAATTCGTAGTTTTATGTGTGGCCAAATATTAATTTAGCATCAGAAGTGATGTCAATCCAAAACAAAAAGACCCATATTTCAGTTGTTAATAATACATCTGAGCGAGACATCTTCAGATGCGGCTTAAACAATCTCACTTTTTAGTGGCTACTCCTTTTGGTAAAAATACAAGGCCTGCATTTTAAGGAAAATATTTGCTCAGAATTCCGTGAGGTTATGGAACACAAATTTGGGGGCCTAATTAAGATATTTTACCGGACTGGGATTCTAACCAACTAGTTATGCGCTTAAGCTTCTGGGGGTTGTATGGTACGCTGAGCTAAATGTTGGCAATGTTGCTGGTAAAGGGAAAAGGTATTATAATAAGATTCGAAAGGTATATAGGTTTATGTGGTAATATTAATGGCTGACACTTTCAAATACTCTGTTGACGTGCAAGTGGATAACCATGGGTAATAAATCACAGTGGCGCTGCATTTGAAGCGGTCTCCATGGCGTATGATATGGCTAGGTTTAATTGTTGAGTGCTTCCGTCTACCAGTAAATTTGCGGACAAACAGGATGTGAAGAAATTTTAACTGACGGCTGCGAGGTCATTTTACCCTCGGATTGTGGTGAATAGTTCTGCCCTCAAAATGGACTTAAGAGAAAACTCCTTAAGGGCAGCATGAAAAATTTACTCCGTTCTAGCAGTTATAGGACCGCTGTCCGTATCGCGAGTGCTTTCATCGCCCTGCATTTTAACACTTATCATCTCACCTCTCTGAGTCCCGTGGGGAAAGTATCGATTAAAACTTGCTTTTTAATTATACTTTCTGCAAAATAAGAGAACCTCCAATAGGTCTGGTCGAAATGCGATAGGTCCTGATCCCACAATTTTTGTGAATGCTTATTTCAGCCTAAAACGGTATGCAAAAATTCTATGCAAATGCATGAAAATGCACTCCGTTTTGCTCTTACTTCGTCCTTTCCTTTCTTTATTTTTCTAGCATAAAAGCGTATATATTATTACCTCGATGTTCTGAGAGCTACTCTCGCTTTCTGGCTATCGAAAAGGATGTTGGTTAAGCGAAATCTTCTTTCCTACCTGGATCCGGTCCTGTCTTGAACTTTGTCGCTTCTGAAGCCTTGGATGTTTACTCGTCATTTGACAGAGGACACTAGCTAGCTACTTCTCACCCCTTTCGTGCCATTATTTGTGTGAAAATGACGCTTTTAATTTGTTTTTTTGTAATTTGCAAATTTCGGTGGAAGTTATATGGGTGCATTCGATATTCTGATCGTTGTCTTAGCTCTTTCGCAAATTACCTGTCGTCACACGCTTGTAGTTCACGTCGGCTTTGTTGTACCATTAACGATTTTGTGAGCCTCTTCCAACGCATTCGTGTCACACTTGGTCTTTCCGACTGATCCTGTCATAGTTTGCATTGCTGATCACTAGAAACCGATGCAAACCTCTGCTGCTTATCTGTTTCATTTATATAATTATATATATATATTGTATGTATATATTAACAAGGCCAATGCACTGCTATCCGACACAACTAAATTTCGCCAGCTCAAGCATGATCTAATTTAAAACTGGTCAACCAGATCAACGCAACGCTGAAAAACACCAAAATAAGGACAAGCTCACCTTCATGTAGAAATGGAGAATGAAAGCTGATGATGAAACATTACATTGCACAATGGGCTAACAAAAGCACCCAAGAACGGCGTCTCACTACTTCCAGTGATATCGCACCCGGATCATCATCGTAAAAACCGACGAAGGATTTATGGTGGTTTAAACATTTGGTTGCTGGAACCGAACACAGCATCAACAAGGCTGCACAATTTTTTCAACAAATTGCAGAGGGACATATTAGAATACGACGAACTAAGGCCTTCATTGGATGTCAACGCACGATTCCATTTAATCCGTTACGAATTAGACATAGGAACCATCACGGAAATACTTAAGTATCAGAAAAGCCCAAGCAAACGAAATGAACAACTTTGGGAGCTCCTGAGCCTCTGCATGACCACATATTACCATTTGATGGGCAAATGTACCAGTAAGTGAGAGGAACACACATGCGATCCCCAATTTCGTGACTTAATGCAAAAGCCAAATTGCAGAAATTACAGATTTTTGCACCGCCTATCAGCCCAAATCTGTGGATACTATACATAGAAGGCACGCTTATCATCGTAAATTGGAACAGAGTACAGGGCACACACAACTTGCGTAGCAGCACACCGGAGTATAACCAATTAATGATTGAGTTAAAGGAAAAGAACCAGCAGCCATTATTGATTGTACTGGTCCCTAGAACTTCCGATGTATCCCTGCAAAAGTGAGTTTAACGGAGGAAAACTTAGCTATTAAACAATCACAGCAACCATTTGATAAAGCACAAAAAGAGCTACCTTCTAATCATGTTTAACTGATGGGCAATGCACTGCAGCTCAGCCGAATCGCGGAAGCAGGAAGAAAATCGTATATATCGCGTGTTTAGAAGCAACGGTTATCCGAGAATTTTCATCAGCAGATGCTGAAATAAACAAAAGGCACAGCAACAGCAGCAGCAGTCACTTGAGCAAGAAATCGAACGAAGGGTACTATCCTACAAATAGGATGTCTTTGAAATAACTGGAAGTTTGCTTCAGTCAGTTGGAATCTTTTTTGCACACAAACCAAGTGTCATCCTGAAGAACCAAAGAAAATGTCTATGCAGCCGACCAATGATAGTTCACCTACCAGATAAAATGGTACTAGTGCGATACAACAAACTCGGAAAAACTGGAAGAAATAACTGTAAATCAATCACCGAACACAAGGCGGCCGCCAGGACACCTGGTTTGCACTCATTGGTTTCTGCTCCTGAGGCTTAATAACGCGATCATTTTGATCTGCAAGAGGTGAAGATCGTAGCACATGGAAGTACAAAACACATGAGGGAGATTTTTAAAGCTTGGTACTATACAACGTATTCAGTCAATCGACACATCAAACTGAATGCAGTATATTCAACCCTACTAGTGGACGACCATCAACAAGATCGAGTGAATCTGTTTGAAATTGTGACCGGACACCCAGAACTGAAGACGGATACGCTCATTAAAATAAGAAGACAAAGCAACGAAATACAAGGTGTCAAGATCAAATATCATCTTCCCATCAGTCAAGCTAATCGTAGGTGGAAATCACAAACATTTTGATTGCACATTTCTACGTGAGACCAAGGCGGGATAAAAGCAGCGTACACTACGCTCAGCGCACTTTCACCAAAGCTCCTCTACGATAGTACACGCCACTCAACCGCGCAGTTATGATTTTACCTCGATTAGTGACTAAACTTTTGCGCTGAAATCGCCAAGCTCATCGAATATTGAAACAGTCGCAATTGGATACATTTATGGTTCGGACAGCTACCTATATTTTTCTTCCTGTAATTCGATGTTCATTTATCTTTTAGGTAACCTTTTTTGGTAACGTCAAAACAGCGTTTTCCGCTGCAGTGTACGTTGCAAATGCTGCAGTGTTTTACTAATGGCCAAACAAATCCCCACTTGTAGTAACCTTTGGGATGAGGTTCGGTGCATTTAACTGATAATGCAACAATATTTGCAATTTGTTAAATTTAGACCAGCGGATGGCTGTCGTACTCTTTTTTCTGCTTCGTCATCCTTTTGTCGCAGATGTCGCATCATCAAACGTCTGGATTGCAAAACATTAAATGAAAATTTTCCTTGTATTTTATGATTGAACATTTTACATACGCTTGACGACACCTGAAGCATTCGTCGAGGTCAGTTATTAGGCGGGTTCATTAAAACTTCCCGACCTGTTGTTTTCGAAAAGCCGCCTGAAGTTACGGATACGATGTCAAGTGCTATCTATGCCAATAATAATTTTGATGTGACTACTTCTCCTGCATAATCGCCCACGAAGTAAGCGTATCTGTGTTTGCTGTGAACAGCCAGGATAGAGTTAGTATATCCTGGACGCCCTCTAATAATCCTGGTATAATTATAACTAGAAAGATGGTGGAGGTATAGCACTTATTCAACGTCTGATTATCCCGCATATTCTAAGGGAAATATGCACATTGCAATCTTTGGCCATACCGATTGTATTTGCCGTCAAGCCAGAAACACTTGGGGTTAATATTTGCCGTTGAGTTGCGCATTTTACGGATAGCGTCATTATTCTTCCTTATTAGTTGAAACCGTTTGTAGCGCTTCTCCAGGAGAGCATGCCAGATGAGAGCAAGTGGTTTAAGCTGTACATCATTCGGCTTCTATCTTGCATGCTAAAACGACAATTTTCATAAATGATTCAAACTGAAAGAATAAAACATAGAACGGGTTTATTCGTACGCGGATAGCAAAGTAGTGAAAGAACCTAAGGATTACACAGAATCCTGTGAATTTGTTTCCTTTGCCGGTACTCCGAATCTGATGCATTCAGATATTCTTCTGCCAATACCTCGCATAACGTTAGCGGTTGTGCTCAGAATGTTCATGTACTACCGGGCCATTTGATTCGAGTTGTGCAATGTGCATTAATTTTATTCAATTTGCGGCTGTTACCGGTGCCTGTAGCGTGTCGTAAGCATACAGGATCACCCAGCTGCTAGCCAATGTCGCGTCTTCTTTGAGATGCAGCCGCGTATTCTTGTTTTCTCTACATATGCTCGTGAGCATTAAGAAATAAGCGATACAACCTTATGCGCGGTGTTTATCCAACCAGTTTTGCAGGTGGTTTGCTAGTGGATTACGGTAGCTTTCCCATTTACACCTAACGTAAGCAATCGGATCTCATTTTAGCCGTCCTTGTTACTTTTTTAATGTGACGTATTACAATCGGCTTATCTGCCAGCGCAATGGAGGCATGATATATGGGGTTCTACATAAGTGTTAAACACCAACACACAATATTAAGTTTAACATAATTTACTAGTTATGTATGGCCTATTACGCAGGGCAACCAAATTTCTCAGGTTTTCTGAGGTAAGAGGAAATTAAACTGATGTTGTATGAACAATGATCACGGATTTTATATATGAAAGCCGGTGTTTCCGCATGCACTAGTTTGCTTGCTTTTCGGCGTTTTAGAGTACTGTAAAATTACTTACCAATCCACTATCCGTGCAGATATGATCATGAGTACCTGAGTGCGATAAATATATGCAAATAAACCTGATGCGTTTTGCAATATACTCCGATATTATTGTCGTTCTTCCAAAAAGTTATATCACTTCGGTGCATAGAGCCTACCTTGAAATGCACTTTGGGCCGAAGATAAAAATGTGCGCCTCACATCGTATGCCATTATTATGGTAAATCGTTTGGTGGACGGTAAAATGTGCAACCATAAGCCTGCCGTTCGAAATTCCCACTGTTTGACGCAAACCTACGTGTTACAAAACAGACTGCTAATTGTGGATTGTTAACAAGAGAGGAACTGGAAAGCAAAAAGGAAAAGAGAAATCTTATCCCAGTATTTTTTGCAATTCTACACATTCCACAATCTGACGAGCTTCCAGTTCCAAAATATGATATATTCTCTCCGTCAGATGACATAGTCTGTAGGCTTTACTTTGAAGCCCTGTTTCATGAATGGGCTTCAAGTTTTGAAGAAGCTGCGATCGTTGCCCAACGGCCATCTTCCTACTAGCAACATGAGCAACAAGCCGCATTTCTTGACGGACCATCTTGATCCCTTTCTCGTAACGGTCGGAGCCTTAATTGAGGAACAAAATGCATGCTGTCCTCAATATATGATGTCGATAAAAGGTTATCAGGGACGATAGAAGAACTTCATGATGGTGGACTACTGTTGGTTTAGTAATCGTGAATGCCCTAAAATATCTTTTCGACGCAGAAGCCATAAACTTCCATTTTCGCCCCATGCTTACCTGCTTTGCTTCTATTTTATTGCTTGTGACTGCGTTAAATTTTCTTATTGGATATATGTTGCATTAGTCCATATTTGTAAGTTAGATCGGGTCAAGAATCATCATGCACCAAACGTCGGTTTAGAAATACTTAACATTATTTTCCTGAATGCTAGAGATTACAGCGAAATATTAAGTTCAGAGTTGAATTCAGCGTGCACAACTTATACAAGCAGCAATATCTGTTTCCATGCATCAATATTGTTATCGCCTTTTGTCAGATGTGCCTTGTCGCCGGTAACATAACCATTAAATTTCTGTAAATTCAAGATGCTACTTTTTGCAGCAGGGTGGGACAAAAGATTAATGTTCATTCATTTTGATTAAGCGCAACTAAACAGCAAATAAATTGCAATTTGCGGCCACAAATGTATCCAGATAGCTGTGCTGTTATTACATGTTAGGTTACACTAACGATGCACCGAAACATGAGTTTGACCGGACTAACAGGATGGAGAATTATTACATTCGCTTAGAGAATTCTCTTATTCTGCATCAAAAACTGATCACAAATGTAACC